CAGGGACCTGCTCAGCCTGCGAGAGACGGCGACGAGGCTGTAGGCGCGCAAATCGTGGGCGGGCGGGATGGAGGGCAGCCGGCAAAGGGTAGCGACGGTGGTGTCGCGATGGAAAAGGCGGCGGCTGATGCACGGTATGGGACTGGGGGTTAGCGTGAAGGAAGGACTTTGAGAGGGGATGTCAGCGGCGCGCTCTGCACGGAGGCTGCCAAGAGATGGGATCACGACAACAACGACAACGACAACCGGAGATGCGCCTACGTGATGGAGCGCGTCGGGCGACAAAAAAGCTCGGAGGAATAGTGGACAGGTCGTGGGAAGTTTGTGACGCCCCGGGAATCGAGGGGAAGGGCGGCGGCCGCTCGCTGAGCTGCGCCAAGTCACGTCCACGTGACTGAGTATTATTAGACTTTGGCCTCGCACCAGCCTCCCCTTTGCGCACCCGCGCGCCCTCAGCAAAAACTGCACTTTGCTGCTTGCTTTTGGCCCTGCATTGGCTGCCCCCGACACGCCGCACGCCATTGCTGGCTGCTGTGTTGTCGCTGTCGTCGTGGTCGTCGCAGTCGCAGTCGTCAAGACAAGGCCCCGTTACACACCACGCCCCGACGGGCTACGAGGGTGCGTGGTGGGGCATGTGCATGTAACGCGACCTGCACACCTCGACGGCGCCGTCTGCTCGAGCGGGAGACACAGCACAGTGTACGCAGTAGGTATACCTTGTTGGCCTCGCCCTGGCCCAGGCCCAGTCACCAGTCACCAGTCAATCCATCCTCAACCGTCGACAGATGCGCCCTCGTCAATACACACATTCACGCACGTGCAGAGCAAAAAGAGTGAGAGGTCCCCCTTTCCCCAATCAATCGTGTTGCCGGTGCGAGTGCCAGTGCAATTGCGCCATTGTGCAATTGTGCCCTCATGCGCCTCGCTGACCGCCTACAATCGTGCAATTCTATCCCTCGCAATGCATCGGGTCCCATGCCAAATGCAGCCTGCCCGACTGGCATAGACTTTAACACATCCATGGTGGCGGTGTGCAATTCTCTAGCAAACGGGGCCCTGTGCGCATCGCTGCCTCGTTGGTCAACTGACTTCACCTAGAGTCGTCCACACTGTACATGCCCCGTCTAGCAGCCGCTGTCCCTCATGCTCAAGACATCAATTGGAAAATGTCTCCTCTTCTCTCCTCTCCTCTCCTTTCACCCTCTCACCCTCTCACCCTTGCTCCTTGTCTTCTACTCATCATCCGGTGGCATCTCGTCATCAATGTAGCGAACTAGCGATATCCTCATCTCTGTCGTGTCGTTACCTCGTAGCACGTCACTGACAAAGTGTGCCTCGACTTGCATATGTACCTAGTTCGGAAATGAGTACATCGTTTATCTGCAATGTCGCTGCACAGTATAGTCCTGGGAAGACGTACCATCTCCAATGCACCCCGCAGTACACCCACTAATATGTTGGAGAACCATAACTCGTCCTGCGCACGCCCATCGTCTGGTAACTCGACGAAATCGGCAAGTGGGTTTTCTTCGAAGATGAGTGAGAATTGCTTGTTGTCGCTCGACCAGTTCGTAATGGTTGGGGTAATGTTGAGGAAGATTTTGAAGCCGACCTGTACTGCATATCAGCCACTGAACAATCAATCCATCTGCCACTTGACAAGGGCTACCTTGGAGATCATCTCGGCCACCTCTCGAAAGTTGGTGCAAGCAGGCGCGCTCGACTTTGCAAGGAAGTCCTCAATCAACCGTATTCCGATATTGTACCCCATGCGCTCCAGTTGCTTGTTGACGTCTGGGTAGTTGTATTCGTAGTCTTTGCATAGTTGTGCAACAATGGTTCCGTATGTGAGCGTGACTAACTCGGCACTGACTTTATCGACTCGTGTTCTTACACAGTCAGAGCCAGCAAACGTAAAGGTTTACACACAAGGCTTACTTCCATACTCTGACATGTATTAGCGCATCGTGAAGCAGGTGCCAGGCTTGTGGAGCTCACTCCTCGCCCATGCGGGCCGCTTTGGTTGACGAAGACATGGTTCACCCTGGCGGTTTTTTGGCGCAATGTACACGGTGGGCGAGGAGAGAAATTCTATAGACGTGGGGTAAGGCGGTATGTGAGGTTGCTATGATTGAGTCGTGTCGTCGGCGTCGGGGGGCACGCGGAGCAGCGTACCTAGCTCGGGCTGTGGAGCGTATATCTCTTGGCGCCGATCTACCCATGAGGAAAGTTCACGAGCTACTACCAGACCGCGAATTTGGACGCGACAAACCCGAAAACTCCACCACGAAACCTATATCACCACACATACTCCGCCATGTCTAGAGAAAAGCGACCCGCCAATGAGGCTTTTGGTACAAGCCAGTTGGTTAAGCGCACCAAGTCGGATGCCAACCTTGGAGGAAGCTCTGCAGTAGCTGTAGTCAACGGCTCGGGCGCAAATGGCGCCCTCATACAAGCGGTACGTTGCCACCGAGGATGTTTCTACACGAGTGTCAAGGCTGAAGGTAGCGATGCGCTGACAGGTCCTGTAGGGGTCGCGCTCCAGCGCACTGCAGTCGCCAGTCATGGAATTAACAGGCCACTCAGGCGAAGTCTTTGCAGCACGATTCGACCCAACAGGACAATGTATCGCTTCTGGCTCTATGGATCGTTCTATATGTGAGTTTGGCCCCAGATTGGCTGGGAAATACGTATTGACGGTAAACAGTGCTTTGGCGCAGCTCCGACACTTGCGAAAACTATGGCATCCTCACTGGTCACAAGCAGGCAGTACTCGACTTGCACTGGTCACGCGATTCCAGAGTTCTCTTCTCCGCATCGGCAGACATGCACCTAGCAAGTTGGGACGTCGAAACTGGAGAGAGAATACGAAGACATCCAGGTCATGAGGAGGTTATCAATTGCATGGATGTGAGCAAGCGCGGTGAAGAGGTGCTCGTGAGCGGTTCCGACGACGGCTATATTGGGGTAAGTGTTGCACACAGTATTGGGTATGGTGAGACTGGTCTAACAGCGGCAATAGATTTGGGACACTAGAACAAAAGATGCAGTAACCTTTATCCAGACGGACTTTCCCATAACAGCAATATGCTTAGCGGAAGCTGGAAACGAGCTATTCACAGGCGGCATTGACAACGACATTAAAGTCTGGGATCTGCGGAAACAGGCAGTGACATACACACTGATTGGGCACACCGACACAGTCACTTCGCTCCAAATGTCTCCAGACAACCAAACACTATTATCCAACGCACACGATTCAACTGTCAGGACATGGGATGTAAGACCCTTTGCTCCCGCTGACCGACGCATACAAACGTACGACGGAGCCCCTACCGGACAAGAGCGCAACCTCTTGAAGGCAAGCTGGGACTTCAAAGGCGAAAAGATTGCAGCTGGTAGCGGGGATCAGAGCGTGGCCGTTTGGGAGACACGAACAGGGAAACTCTTGCACAAGCTGCCAGGCCACCGAGGCGCCGTCAATGACGTGCGTTTCCACCCTCTTGGCGAACCCATTTGTAAGTTGAATCAAATTTCCTATGAGCCTCAATGCCTCGGCTGCATCTCCCAACGATGTCTGGATACCCTGCCAGAAGGTGGAACTAGACGGAGGGCGGTCCGTACACCCTCTCTGTCACTCTGTTTGTCTCCTGCAAAGCATCAAGCTGACTTGGCAATACTTAGTGGTCTCCGCCTCGTCAGACCGAAAGGTCATGGTGGGCGAGCTCGGCAAGTGAAAGGGTGAAGCTTCGGTATCTTGGCTACGCAGTTCTGACTCGAAGAGATGGGCGCGAGAAGCGTGGAGAAAGGCCCCAGTAGCTTCCGGCCCAGGTAGACGTCACGCAGACGTTTGTGGATAGGCTGGATACGCCGGTGCGACAGTTGACAGGGCTTGGGAGTCGCATGTACGCACAATGGTCGACGATGCAGCGAAAGCGACGAGTATGGTGATTGAGAGGATGCGTCGAAGAGAGAGAGACAGAGAGAGTTGGCGCAGCAGCGCAACCAGCCGTCGACAGCAGTCTAGCCAACAATCAAGCCGACGAAATTTGCTATAGCGCGGCTTCATGCCTTTATTACATTGTGCTAAGCGCACGACAATCTGCTGCCGCCTCGCAGGCGCGTTGCTAAAAGCAGGGCGTGGTGGTTGTGTAGACCTGATTGGGATGGGTGTTTCAGGCTCTTTTCCCGACAGCCAATCAAGGCCGGCCTTCCCCAGGTCTTTCCCTGAGCTGCGCTATTGCTGTCATCCACCACACGCCCGGGTGGCTCCAAAGCAGAATGCCCATGTCTACGAACGCGGTCTGTGCTACACGTAGGATCGCTGCTCCAGCCCACCCGCGTTTCATCGTTGCTCTCATCGCACTCTGACACGCGACTCGTCGCGAATACGCATGGCGCTCAATGCTTTCTCGACCGTGGTCGTCGTTGCTGTCCTTACCCATGTCCTAGTGCGACAGCAACTCTTCCTCCCCAACCGTGATGGCTCTATCGTCCTTTTCTTTCAGTCGTTGGTAGTTGGCAGCAGTGCTGCGCTCTGCCTGTTTCGCTTCTTTCTGTTCTTTTGCATTTGCTTGGCTCAGCTGGCTCTGGATAGCCTGCTTGCTATTTCACCCTTTATCCAGTACGATAATACTCTTCCATCGGGGGTTCCTGGGCTTGTTTCCATCTTGGTAGGCGTGGAAAGGTATAGCCAACAGTTCGCGCGCCGGACATTGCAAGACGACTCCGAGCAACACAGCCATCCACTCATCTGGAGACTACTCCACACTTTCCATCCTGTTACACCCAGAACACGAGGCCCACATGCTGGCCTAGCCATACCGTTCGCTCGTTCATCCGTTGAGACATCTTGGAAGGGGGACCAACAACAAGCGTGCCGAACCCAGGCCACGCGTTGTGCTATAAGGGAACAGCGAGTGCTCAAGATAGAACTTGGGGTCCGCATTTCCTAGTTCCTGAGCCTTGTCAATCTTAGAAGCTATATACAGAACACCATGTTCCGGTCACCACTCTTCGCTTGGTCGCCACGACCAGACCAAGACCAGGACATCGAGGCTTCTCCGGCAACCTCATCGCCATCTCGATTCGGCGCCTTTCGCAGCAATGTGCGAACATTGGTCAATGGCTCGTCAGTCTATTCACAGTCGCCAGCTCTCACCAACAACAACCACAACGAGACAACACCAAAAGTACCATTTCGCGGATTCTGGAGCCGCCAGCAATCACCCGATCCAAACGCACAACATGTCTCAGATGATGAGCCGCGCGACTCACGTGACTCAAATGCACCTCTTTCACATCATACTGCAGGCTCATATATTGGCGCCATTCAGGATCCTCAGGAGCCGACAACACTATACTCGCGTCACCCAGCGGATGTACAATTACCACCTGGCCACGAAGGCCCCGTAGATCCAGCAATTCAGCAATCTACAGACGAGGCCAGTGGAAGGCGGCATAGGCGGCGCAAGCACCGGAGGAGAACGAATCGTCGTGCGGATCGACGTGAACAGTGGGTGCGACGAAGAGATGAGCGCGGGTCCACTGGAATCTATGTCAGGGGATCAGCTGCACGACGGAAGATGGTTGCTGTTGCGATATCCGGAACTTTTCTGATCGTCATTCTATCCATCTGTAAGCTTTTATGACACTTTGCTTGACACACGTTAGACTAATCTTCGAGCGCAGATCTAGCATTGGCCCTAACCAACAAAGACCTCGGCCAAGAAATCCACATCCTCTTCATCATGGTGCTCCTCACCGTCACCATCTTCTTCTGCCACTCCCTCATCCGCCTCTGCATGCTCATGCTCAACCCGCCGACCGAAGAACGCCAATTCATCCCTAACATGCTCGGCTCTGAGGGCTTCCAACCCATCATCCCAATCCGTGTCCACCTCCGCCGCGACGAAGAAGCCGCGCTGGAAAACGACGTCCTGGAAAACGACATGGACGTCGACGACCCAGAGAAAAACATGCCGCCTCCTCCCCCACCCGCCTACGGCCTCTGGCGCAGCAGCGTCCGTGTAGACCCAAACCTCATCCATTGGCAGCGCGTCGACGCCCTCAGCGAGCGCGGCAGCGCAATGTCCTCGCGAATGCCATCGCGCGTCGGCTCCGTCAGTGAGCAAGTCCCCCCACTACCCACTGCTTCGCGTGCAGCATCCGCGGTAGCAGAGGGACCCCGACCTCCCTCGTACGTCTCTGAAGACGGAATCAGTTACGTGGTTGAGGCGGCGCCGCGGTCAACCGTCACCAGCAACCGCGATAGCCACTCGGGATATAGTGAAATACATCCTGCGTGGCGGCCGGGCTACGCCATGAGTGAAATCAGAGGCGGCGAGTTGCCTGCGGTTGCAAATTTTAGTAGACCGTAAAGACGTTTTTTTGAAAGAAAGAAAAAATATGGTTTATTCTGTTCATTGATATATGCATTTGTCCAAAATCTTCTGTTTTTTTTTGTCATTTATTCCGTTATGTTTTTTTTGATTCCAAAAAAAGATTAGCGAGTCCGATGTCCCATTTCTCTCTCTCTCTCATCTCGTCTTCAAAGTCCTGGCATTCTTGGCTTTTTTTTCCTTTCCTTGATTTTACATCAAAGGAAATAATTTGAGCGTTCTCGCTTTTTTTTCCTGCTTCTCTGCGAGCATTTGGCATTTTTGGCATTTTCATCTCATCCTTTTATCGTTTGCGAGCATAAGCATCGTTCATCGTTGTTTGTTATTTTTTCTTTGTATCAAACGTACAATACGTATATGTACACACACACACATCCACATCTACACATCCCACTCATCCATATAACTTTCACCCATTTACAAAAGCACTACATGATTTATTCTAAGCAAATCAACATTTCAAAAACAAGAGGAAACAATATTCATCGTTCAATTCTCCTCTTTTAAAACTCGAATTTTCCATCTCGCACGTGATCTTCACACCTATCTAC